TCCTTTTGTCTTGGCATCAATTTTCCCTTGGATATAGGAACGTCACAGTGCAGGGACCGAATGCAGGTCCCAAGGATGCACTCCATTCCTGCTCTTCTTTCTTGGTGATTGTAAGTCCCTCTTTCTCTGCTCACTTCTCTCTCCTTTTATCTTTATAACATAAAAGCAGCTCTCCTCTTTTATCTTCGTAAATTGAAAGGCAACTCTCTTACATCCCATCAGGTTTGTGATGGGATTAAGGGTGCTGCAGCCCTCAACCTTAATCCTTTTATTGCTCTATCACATCAGATCACATCAAGGGGACTCATCACAAAACTGCCACATCACATCCCTACGTAACTGTCAAACCACTGAGAATCAAGGCCCAGTCATGCTGACAGGTATTTTGGCAAGAGGAACACAATCCAATCCATGCCAGATGCTAGCTAAATTAGTTGCAATGCAGAAAAGAGGAGTCAGGGATGCTGTGAAAAATAACAGGCATAATTAGTCAGTTTCCAAAGGCAGAGAGGCATGACACATTAGAATTGTAGGAGATGGCTTACTTTTGTATGGCAAGCAGGTGGAGTTAGCTAGGCTTCATGGGTCTCCTGAGGATGGGCACTTTGAATTAATTCTGCAGCCTTGAAGGGTGCAGAGTAGAGACATCCTTAATTGCTAGGTATCTGGTCCTGGGGCAATTAGGACAAGTGGTCAGGAGTATAAGAACCATCTAAGGAAAGTAGTTAGAGAATGGCAACTAACTGGTCTCCAAACAGGCCCTCAAAATTGTGTCAAGACATCATGAAAGAGAATGGTATTGTATACACTCATCCACAAATGGTCTCCTGGCTTTCCTAATAAAGGGAGAATTCTGGGTGGTACAGAATTTGGAAGATAACCCAGAAAAGAGTATGATAGCTCAAAAGATGGCAGGTATGAGATGACACATGGCTGGTGCTCAGAAACCTTTATGTCTACAACACTGGTACCCCCTTCCCTTGACACTTCGTAACCAGGCGAGGACCACTCCTCAGGAGATGGGCCAGCAAAGATGGTCCCAGAACACCACCATGCATCCTCTTAGCAGCTCACATGGCACCTAGCATGTAGCAAGCACTAAAAATACACATTTGTGAAACTGAATCAATGTTGATTCATTACTGTTGCTGTAAACCCTGACTAGCAGCTCCAAGTGCCAAAAACCATAGAAACACATGATGTAAGCACAGGGAGGGGACCCTAGAGAAGATCTGGTCCCAAGCACTTCACTGTATGGTTGAGAAACCCCTGAGAGAATATGTGACATGCCCAGGGCAGTGGGAAGAGTATGAAATTTAAAGGAAGCAGATCTGGTTGGAGTCCAGCTTTGACACTTATTGGCTATATATATAAGCTTGGACTGATTAACAAACCTCTCAGGGCCTTACTTTCTCCTTCTAGCAGCTAGGGGGCGGAGGGTGGGGTTTCAATAGTCCATCTCACGTGACAGACTTGATGTGATCACTAACATACAAAAAGTAATGGCTAGATGGCAAAAACTAGTTACTATTGCACCTAGTCATGCTACCACCCACCTTCTGTCACTTTGGCAAGACATGACAGGAAATAAAACTCCTCTGTCCTTTCCTAATCAACACTGTGTCCATCATCTTCCCTTTCTAGTTTTCCAGAACCTCTACTGCTATTTATACATTTTCATCCAGAACTACTGGACTAGAGCTGGGAACACCATCACCAGCCAAAAGTAGGAGAGACCTGAAGGACAAGGAACAGCCTCCCAACAGGAGGCCAAGACCCACTTAAAAAATCATCAGTACCCAGGCCAAGGGCTAGGACTCTTGCAGAAGTACTCATGTGCATCCTAAGGGAATGAGAGCTTTCTCAATAACCTTTAGATACGCAAAACACGTCTTTTGAATCTGCAGTCCATATGGCACACACAAATGTCGGCAGATGCCTGCAAGAGTGTGACTAGCACTTCTTCATCATTAAAATGAAAAGACATTCAAAATAATGAGTGATCAACATGAAAAGCCTCCCTGGGGAGAGTTCAGGTAGACAGCAATAGGGCCACAGGTACCAGAGCTCTTAGGCCAGAGGTCTGTTCAGTCTAGAGAGTCAGGAAGGAAACGGAAAAGTGCTGCGGGACAAGTACACTGGACAGAAAGCATGGTAGCCATGAAGGACCCAGGCTCCATGGGGTCAGCCCGTGTCTCTCAACTGTCAGCCCCAATAAGAGCAGAGCAAAGCTAAGGAGTATAGAACACATACTCTGTAGCAGGCCACGTGCCTGATTTACATGTTACTTTAATTAGTCCTCTTAACAACTAGGGGTCCTGGTATGGCACTGCAGGATATATGGCACTGCTAACCACAAACTTGATGGCTCAAACCCACCAGTTGATCCTACTTGTTGTTGTTAGATGCCATCGAGTTGACACCAACTCATAGCAACCCTATGTTCAGCAGAATGAAACACTGCCCGATCCTGCGCCAACCTCACTACTGTTGCCACGCTTGAGTCCATCGATCCTGCCACTTGGCCAATCTATCTTGTTGGGGGTCTTCCTCTCTTTCTCTGTCCCTAACCCTTACGAAACATTCTTCAGTGACTGGTCCCTCTTGACAATATGTCCTAAGTATGAGAGATGAAGTTTGGCCATCTTGGCCTCCAAGGAACACTCTGGCTGCACTTCTTCTAACATGGATCTGTTTATTCTTTTGGCAGCCCATGGCACTTTCAATATTCTCCTCCAACACCATAACTCAAAAGCATTAATTCTTCTATAGTCTGCCTTATTTACTGTCCAGCTTTCACATGCACATGAGGTTATTGAAAATACCATGGCTTGGGTCAGGTGCACCTTAGTCCTCAAGCTGACATCTCTGCTCTTCAACACTTTAAAAAGGTCTTGTGCAGCAGAACTACCTAATACAATACGTTGTTTGATTTCTTGATTGCTGCTTCCATGAGTATTGATAGTTGATCCAAGAAGAATGAAGTCCATGACAACTTCAATCTTTTCTCTGTTGATAAGAATGTTGTTTATTGGTCCACTGGTGAGGATTTTTGTTTTCTTGACATTGAGATGTAATCCATACCAAAGGCTGTGCTCTTTGCTCTTCATCAGTAAATGTTTTAAGTCCAGCAAGCAAGGTTGTATCATCTGCATATCACAGGTTGTTAATGAGTCTTCCTCCAATCCTGATGCCACGTTTTTCTTCATAGAACCCAGCTTCTCGAATTATTTGCTTGGCATACAGGTTGAATAAGCATGGTAAAAGAAAACAACCTTGTCGCACACCTTTCTTAATTTTAAAACCATTCAGTGTTCCCATGTTCTGTTTGAACAACTGCCTCTTAGTCCAGGTACAGATTCCTCATGAGCACAATTAAGTCACTCCTTGGAAACCCTAAATAATATATAGGGTTGCTATGAGTCAGAACCAGCTCAACGGCACTTAACAACAACACCACCATTTTACAGATGAGGAAATTGAGAATCAGAAGCTACAGGACTTTGCCCAACGTCACAGAAGACGGTGGCACATTAACAGTAGTTACTGAGCACCTGCTACGTGCCAGGACCATTCTGGGTTTTGGAGGCACACTGGCAAACACGACGAAGTTCTTACTTGAAGATGGAAGATATGAAAAAACATCTGTCACATTCCCAAGTCCCATATGTCATACTACCTAATGAGAACAGAAAATATACAACGACCACAAAAGCCATCCACTCTCATTACGCCCCAGTCCTCTAACACTCTTCCGTGGGTCTAGTGAAGTGCAGGCTTGGGGAGTCAGGCCTCAGTCTAAATTCTACCAATCCCACTGCTCAGCTGCACAACTTGGGGTAAGTTATTCAACTTCTCGGAGCCTCAGTTTCTTAATTTGTAAAATAGGGGAAATAGACCCACTGATAGCATATGATGTCTATTTAACATAGTTATCATTGTGAAAATGCAAGAAACTATTAATTTGCTTAGGACAGTATATGCTTGATACAGTATATGCTTGATACAGTATATGCTTGATACAGTATATGCTTGATACAGTATATGCTTGATACAGTATATGCTTGATACAGTATATGCTCAATAAACGTTAGCTTACCATTAGTACTGTCACATTATTACTACCATTTTTGTTATTGTTAGCTACTGGGAAGAGAAGGGCCTCGCTTCTGCTAATAGTAAACAGACTGGTACCTCACACATATATAATTAACCCATAAATGCCCTCCTACTTGCCCTTCTCCTTCCATCATTGTATATCACATGGGATTACTTCTCTACACTCCAAAGAACCCTTGAGGCTGCCCTTAAAGTGAGTCATAAACTCTCTAAGGGCAGAGACTACCTTATTCATCTTCATAACCCTAGAACCTCGTACCTAGAACGCAGCAATGTTTTTAATAAATGGATTAAACTATGCTAACCAGATTTTTGGAGTCCTGGTGTGGCGCTGTGGGTTAATGCACCAGACTGCAAAGCTGTTTGAACTGCAAGGTTGGCGGTTCAAGCTCACCACCTGCTCCTAGAAACCCTTGAGAGGGTCGCTATAGGTCAGAACTGACACTACGGCACTTAAAAACAACAACAGCCAAATCTTGGGGTCACTCGAGTAGGAGAAAACTGGAATACAAGTGCTTTAAACACATTCACCAGACATACAGATTTTTTGCCCTCTTGGGCCTGGGAAGAAACCTAGAAAGTAAACCTGTCAACTTTTTGCACATGCTCTAGGTAGTAATCTGGAGCCAGGGAGCAGCAAGAATGCAGTTGGTCATGTCTCAGACAAATGATTAGGCCAGAGCTACCCATCTCCTGAGGAGTCCTGGTGTGGTGCTGTAGGATAAGCACTGGACTGTTAACTGCAAGGTTGAAGGTTCAAATCCACTAGCGAATTCTCAGAAACCCTATACAAGGTCGCTATGAGTCAGAACTGACTCACTGGCACTTCACAAACAAACAAACAAAAATCCATCTCCAGAGACGGAGAGGTCACTCCATACCATGTGCTCCATGCAGATGCTGATCTCGCCATCACTGTAGAATGCACCATAGAAGCCAACAATATACGGGGAGTTACACTCGTGCAGAACCTGCAGTTCCCTTATGATCTGGTTCCGGATGGCAGGTTTGATCTCCAGATGAATTAGCTGGGGAAAGAAAGGTGGGAGGAAGAGACGCATATGGATGAATGAATGGATACAGGGAGGGAAGACTGGATGGATGGATGGACGGGTAGATGGATGGATGGATGAATGGTGGAAGGATGGACAGATGGGTGGGTAAATGGATGCATGAAAACTTTCTTAAGTGCTTAAACAGGGAGAGAGGAAACAGATGATGTTTTAATAAGTGCTTTGGTTGAGCAGAAACTTGCTAAGTGCTAATGTACCGAGGCAGGTTTTGACACTGGAGGCGTAACCATGGGTGGTCAGTAATGTCTCTGCTTCTGGAAGCCAACAGTAGGAAGAAGGGGATTCACTACTCCCCACAACAAAACTGAATAGTTTCCTCGAAAAGGAGCCATGAAACTAAGATGAGGGAAAGGAGCCTTGGGGACATGGTCCACACTCAGCAATTGTGGAGGTAGAAGGCAGTGAAGAACTGGGGTGCACTGATCTAAGCTGCCCAAGACATTTCTTCCTGACCTCAGGAGCCTAATGTTGGGATTTTTATCAAGGCTTCAACTGCCGCTAAATGTCCACTTAACACAGTTCCTTATTCCAGCTAGGGAGACAAGTGGCAAACACATAAGATGGCTACCTAATAAGGCTGAGCTTCTAAATAGACTCATAGACAATGAGTGGCAGAGGACAGAAGCAGTGGTCATCAGTGTGGGCTGTAGCAGTTGGTGAAAGCTCGACATGAGGTGGGCACTGAAGATGGAGGGAACCTCACAAACAAAATTCAAGGATAGCAATGAACACAGTGTGCTGAAGAACATAAGGAGAGTCCAGTCATGCTGGAGCAGGGGGAGGGGGAGGCTGCATTTAGATAAAAGAGGACCACTTAAAGCAGACAGGGAGGTCTAGCTTGCCACAGTGGAGTATGCAGATGTTGTATGGTAGGAAAATGAAGGTACCATTGACAGGATGGGCGCACAGGGAAACAACCTGAAATCAGTGTTCTTGTGGATTAAAAACAGCCCTTCCTGCACCTGATAAATGACCAAAAGATACCCTGGCACCTCTTCTACAACACCCAGAAAACTAAACAAGGATCACTTGCTGTTATCTTCCAATCTGGGGATGGAGATAAACACATTAAGTCTTTAGTGTGTCTATTCATAATCTCATGGCTATGAGTTCAAAATTAAAACAGCACACCATGGTATTGAATGAAAAGTCAGTCTCTTCCCTTCCAGTCTGGTCCATAAGGCCCAGGGTCTTTAGAAAGAGAATCCAATTACTTGTGAATCAAGTCAAGTTCAGTTGTTGTGTTTTTGTAAGTGGCCTCACCTTTCTGGCCATGACCAAACCGGACGGCTTGTGAGAGACCTTGAATACCACACCACCATTGCCAGCACCCAGCTCACTGATCTTCTCAAAGTCATCATCCTTCAGTTCTCCCACCTTCTGCTTCTGGGTAAGAAAGGCCTCGAGGCGCTTCCGCTGCTGTTCATCAAGTTCCAGCTCTTCCAGCTTCTTTTGCAAGGCCTCCAAGTTGGTCCTGTTCCAAAGGGGGAACACAGATCAACACCATCACTAGAGCCGTCAACCCAGAGGAGCACGCCCCAAGAGAGGGGAAGAGAGAGAAGACTAAAGGTTCAGGGCTCCATCCAGTAGTGCTTTGCCCACTTCACTCCAGAAGTCATCACTGACAGCTCCACCTCTCAGGGCCTCAGTTGCCTTGTTTAAAAAATGATGACATTAGGCCGCTTTCAAAATGCTGTGAGTCTACTAGGGAACCAAAGGATCTATTAAAATCCAAAATAAATGGCCTTTTGAAACTGCTTTAAGACCCCAGTTTCAAAAGCCCAGTCAAAGTTGATTCAATTAACCTCACACCAGACACAAAATCAAATCTATTTCCTAAAACCACTATACTGCAACCAAACCAGACAACCAAACAGGCTCTCAACTAAAACACAACAGTAGAAACATTCATGTCTAATGTGATCAGGGTCCAGGAACCAAGTTAATCAAAAAAGTCAGATCAAAATTCCATCAAAATGATATACCCCAAGTATCTTATTTGGACATGTAACATATGAGAGGGACTTTAAAAAGTTCATGGAAAAATCCATTCTCTTTTAATTCTACTTTTCTATGAACTTTTGGAAGCCGCCTCATTATAAATGTGCACACCTCCACCCATCTTTTAGCACAGGGCAAGGACTTTTCTTGGAGAAAAAGTACACTCTGGCAAGAGCACCACACCGTCTTTCTTCCATGAGCCAGAACACAACACACTGCCTAGGATTTCTAATGTCTGATGCTTGGTAAGTAAGTGCAGAGTAATCTCCATAGAAAATAACGCTCATCTAAGGAGCACTAGTAGCATGGTAGATTACAAACTGGGCTGTTAACCACAGGTCAGCAGTTTCAATCCAGCAGTCATTCGCTCCTCAAGAGAAAGATGCTCGTGTAAAGCTTTACAGCCTCAAAAATCTTATACAGGGTTGCTGTGAGCCAGAACCAACTAAACGACACACAACCTTCACCACCACATTAATACTTACCTAATGTGACAGAATTTTTTTTTTTTTTTTTTACTGTGGTTATATAAAGTGATTTTATCCAAGAACTTTAATATGTACAACTCAATGACACTATGTCCACCACCCATTACCACGTTGCAGTAATTTTATTTAGCGACTTCGATTTATTGAGCCCACAGTCCTGGTGTGGCGCTGTGGGCTAATGTGTCAGACTGCAAAGTCATTTGAACTACACGGTTGGTGGTTCAAGCTCACCAGTTGCTCCTTGGAAACCTTATGCAGGATTGCTATGGGTCAGAATCAACTCGATGGCACTAACAACAACAACAGCTCTTATTAATGAATTTAATACATTATTTTTGTAGGGACAAAAAGAAAGAAAACCACTTCATTTACAGTCATTTGCATCCACTTAGCTGATATTTTAAACACATTACTTGATTACAGTCATAGCTACAAGTGGTATAAATGGGTCTGGGAACAAACTGGCTCTTGGTAACAGCACGTACGACCAGGCAGTGGGAGCTGAAGTGAGTGGGTATGGCAAGAGGCAGCCAAGTCGCATACACAATCCTCAGTGTCTCAGAGAGGGTAGGAAAGTTGTTCCTTAATCCTGAGAGCTGGTGGAGAGAAGGTGGGATAGAGGGTTCTCATTGTGTTTCACTTGATTTCCATCCCCAATCCAAACAGGTGACTTAAGAGTTACATAATTGACAAGTCAGGCCACCATTAGGCATCAGAAACGTCGGTGCCCCTCACACATACACACCATTTGTGAACTTGAAGGGCATGCCTAGGCATAATCTCCCATTCACGCCCATTATTCCAAACCTCAAGAAGGCAGGGAGATGAACACCTATTGACACTCCTAAAATATGGGGAGCTCCAACATTTATGCCTTGCAAATAACATGGAGCATGAGGCTAAAAATAACACAAGGCTGAGTGGACTGATTTTCCTCACAGGGTAACTCTGGCTGAAGGCAGGCTGGTCAATACTCTCATTCTACTAAAAGGCCTAAGTCCTACAGCTACCTCCAGACCCCTCAGGCGGGGGCCCTGAAGCATGTGTGGACACTGCACACCCTCTCGAGGGGCCCACCACAAAGCAGCATGATAACACTTAGAGACACATGTCGGATGGCAGCAGAGCTCAGAGCTACAACATGGATGAGGTGACCATGGCCCCAAGGGCTCAGCAGACACACTGGGAGAGCAAACTCCAATAGCTGCTAGCAGGATGTACACACACACACACACACACACACACACACACACACACACTGAGGCAGAGGAGAAGTCAGGACACGAGGGAGGAAAATCGTTCTCCTCAACACTGTGAACTATTTTAAGTTCTCCACATTTATTAACACATCAGATCCACGACCCTACACTTAACAACAGCTGAGCAAACTCAGGCACAGACAGTTAACTTGTCTTAGGTCACACAACTAGCAAAGATGCAGAGCCAGGATTCAAACCCAGGAGACAAAATCTCTACCTTAACCACGATGCTGCGTGACCTCTCCAGCAACTTCAGTGCTTTCAAAGGAACTACTTACAAACAGGGATAAGATCCTAGTCTGGGTCATTTAAGAATGCCATGCACCAGGTCTTAATACATGAAGATGATATGCCCTACACAGGCCAAAGAACAGTTTTTAAAGAATATAAAAGGTGTGCTAGTGGCGCTGTAAGATAAGCACTGGACTCTAAACACAAAGTCAGCAGTTCAAACCCACCAATTACTCGAAGGGAGAAAGCTGAGGCTGTCTGTGCCCATAAAAATACACAGCCTCAGAAACCCTATACAGGGTCACTATGAGTCAGAAGCAACTTGAAGGCACCTAACAACAACAATAACAATTAATAATAAATAAATATCTAATTAAAATTTTATTTTAACGTTATGTTTTATTTAAGCCAGTATATTCAAAACATTATTTCAACACGTGGTCAATATTATTAATTAGATATTTTATATGCTATAAAAATAATATTTATAAAATTAGTCCTCTTTATAAAATCATAATTTTTATAAAGAGGGCTAAACTTAGCAGCCCTTTGCCCACTGATAGAATCCTGCATGCATACCTAATGAGGGGTTTCCTTAAGGTGCCTTACAAGTAAACAGTAGCCACATCTGACAAGGGAAAAGAAATGCTGACCCTGCTCACTGTCCTGACTCTCTGTGGAGAGACGTTATTCTCCCAGCTTTAGAAAGAAGAACCAATTCTAGGCTTTGTGCCATCCTCCTTCCTCTACCTGACATACATTACTCCCTCCCTTGGAGCATGGGGCTGCTAACCATATAGGTGGACAGTTCATACCCACCAGCTGCTCCACAGGAGAAAGATGAGGCTTTCTGCTCCCATAAAGATTTACAGCCTTAGAAACCCTATACAGGATTGCTGTGAGTCAGAACCAACTTGACGGCTATACCCTCTAACCACCTAACCCCACTAGCTGAGACACTGGCTCCTGAACTGTGCCTTCTGAAGGTCTGAATGTGTGAGCAGAGACTGTAAGCTCTGATGGTCAGACTTTCCTAATGGCAAGGATGGAAGCAGGAGGACTGAGGGTGGAATATTGTTGTCAAATTTTGGTTCGGTGGTAGAATAGAATTCTTACCTTCCTTGTATGAGGTCCAGATTTAGTTCCCAGCCATCATATCTCACGTGCATATACCACGCACTTGTCCGTGGTGGATTGCATATTGCTATAATGATGAACAATAGGTTTCAGTAGAGCTTCCAGACTAAGACAGACAAGGAAGAAAGACCTGGCAATCTACTTCTGGATATCAGCAAACGAAAACTCTACAGATCACAATCGTTCATTCTGTAACCAGTCATGGGGTGGCGCAGCAAAGTACTCTGTCCTCTTGTGGACAACTAGCTGTGGAATCCTGGACAAATCACTCATCTTCCTCCTCGCTCACTTCACCAGAGGAAGACCAAAACGGAAAACGAATGGCAGGAAACCTGGGAATTTTAACACATTCCTTACTGCTGGAGCAGGGAGTGGGGGACAGGTTAGAGAAAGAAGAGGACTAGCCAAGGTAGCAACAGCACGGTCCAGGAATTACTGTCTTATCCTTTAATTAAATAATTCTTAAACAATCCCAAAAATCTTCAAAACACTGTGTCATCAAATAAAAGGCAAAAGATGTTATCTGAAGGTGAAAGGGAGATCCTGGTATCACTTAAAGAGGGAAAAAAAAATCAATCAAGAATGTAGAAGTATTCAATACCACTTCCTCTTGCATGGGGAGTCAATGATGTCCTCAAAGGCTCATCTCTGCCCCACCAAGGTGAGCGAATCAAGCAAAGAAAATAAAAATCAAAGCAACGAAAGAACTCTATCCCTCAAACCCCAAACCAAACCAAACCCGCTGCCCTTAGCTGACTTCAACTTATAGTGACCCTTTAGGACAGAGCAGAACATCTCCACAGAAATTCCAAGGCTATAAATCTTTTTACTGTAGTAGGCCGCTACATCTTTCTCCCTCCGATTGGCTAATGGGTTTGAACCACTGAGCAATCCATTGGCAGATGAGTGCTTAATCACAGCACCACAGGCTCCCTCATCTTTCAACCACACAAAAATTATCTCCAAACACTGGAGGCCAAGAATCTGCCTCCGTCATCACAGTCTTTAGTTTTAACGGATATCAGCAAAACTGAGATTGAAAAAAAAAACTTGGGCTATAGCACAATAAATCTCAAACATTCACACTCCCTTCTCCAAGGAACAGCTGTGATCAGCTCTGACCCCATCAGGCTCCCCACAGCAGGGAGGAAACGACACACTATAATATTAATTGTGCAAGACAGAATTAGGTTGTCTTGCAGTAAACACAAGTTCATAGAGATACAAAAAGATTATAGCCTTGAAGTGGGAATGCAGAGAAAAACCAGGGTTGTCATTCGTATTCTGAAACACCAGGGACATGAACTGAAATGGGTGGAGAAAGGATGATACTTGGGTGAGAACCTTTTCCTCCCTCT